TGTTATACTGAAATTTGGTAGATTTGACGTTCTTCATTAAAAGTCATGAAGTATAATACAAGTTTCAAAATGAAGAAAATAAAAAATTATGTGTAATAAATTATGCGGTAATATATGAAATATATTATATTATTATAACAACTTAAATCGAGTTGTTATCGAATCGTATTTGACCTATATCTATATTTGTTCATTTATTTAACGGATTACTGATTTCGAATTTTGATCGGGTTATCGACTATAACCCTAAATCTATCTCCAACTAATTTCATCGAATTAGGATTTTAATTAGATTCGGATCAAAATTAATCCATGACAGCCCTATCCAGAGACGGCTATTACAAGAATTGCCCTCAAAATCAAAGAATTTGGTTTTGAAATTTGATGGAAACAAAAGCAAGATAACACGATCAAACTAGTTAGATCCTGCACACTTAAATCATGAAAGTCACAAACTATGTATCCTTATACACTAATAAAAACACATGTCAAAATTTCACAAAGTAACAAGTTTAATCAACAAAAATCACATATTATAATTTATATGTCTTTTATTAAAAGAAAAACAATTAAAAAAATATCACAATTTCACAAATTAATTATCCAAAAACATGAAAGTTCACAAAAAATTTCAAAGTCACTAAACTCCTCAACAATGAGTGATGGAAATCTTTGGTTGTACAGTTTTTGGACATAAAATCATATGATTGTGACATGTTGAGGACATTCACTATCAAATAATATTAGGATTATGCTGGTGGTACCTAAGGGTGTACTTAAGGGGTTACACCCCCTCACATGGGAGTGGGACCCACTTAAATAAAAAAAAAATTTATGCAAGTGGGTTCCACCCATGTGAGGGGTGTGTAACCCCTTAGGTACATCTTTTGACGTATCACTAGCATAATCCATAATATTATGATGTCTTGGGAATCATCGGGAAAATCCTTGGCAGCATTGAAAAGAACTGAAAAAAGAATCGACCAACGACGTTGCCAAATTCGATGGCACTGTTTTCACTAACACAGTTTAGATTATTAAAAGAAAAATACGACAAGAATCACACAACAAGAAAAACCATATAATTGACCTACAAATTCCTAGATTATGTCGTATATTCAAGGAAAATTACAAAACCATGCTCCTGATTACTTTGTAACATCCTTCTGTTGTACTATATCAGCCCCTCGAACCCCGCACGAAACACTTCCTGGCCTCAACACGAGAAAGCAGCCTATAACAGCCATCATCGTCTCCTCCTCAGCCTCGTCCCAATGGATTCTCTTTCACGACTTGAGACTTTGTCCATAGATTGTTGTCGAAGCTATCTCCCGTCGTGCGCTAAGGATCCTAATGGAAACATGTCTGATTTCATTGACTGTTACAATCTATTTAACAATTTGTGGCATCGAGTCACCTCCATTCCAACCCTTGATGAAAACCAGGTGCTCAAGGATTTCGCGATGGTATCTTTGGTTGATTATATTGTTATAATCGGTGGCGAGCTTTGTTTTCAAGTTATTAGACCCTGAGACTAACAATGTTGAAGAAATCGACCTAAGGGTCGTTCCTTGCCTCCATAGAGGCAATGTAAAGACGGATAATTGGGAAATTTGTGCACCTTTAAGCATACCTTGATAGAAATACATAATAGGATTATCGATCAAAACAATAATCAAATCATTAATTCTCAATAATATAACCATAGATTCAACTCCATATTGAAATTCGAGAAAATAACAAAACATAAAACATACATATATCCATGATAATCTAATTCTTTGCTTGG